TATATCTATTGAATAAAATATATATTAAATATTTTACTAAGTAATGGTAATTCAAATAACTAATTTATTCCATTTTTAATCATAATGTTTTGATTTTATTTATTTATTTGTAGCATACATTAACTGTTTAATTATTTTTGTGGATTGACAATGTTATATTATATGAAAATATAATAATCATGTGATATGATTTCCTGAACTTTCTTAAAATTATTAAATGCTAATTGCATATTAGTTAATATCCAGGGAAACTGGGGAGTTAATATATTATTAAATTGATGTTAATAATAAGGAATGTTTATTTTACGATTTTATTTTTGGTCACATGATATATTTTGGTCTTTTATCTTAATTCAAAGAAATATATAAATATCTTTTGTGCTATATTTTTGAAAAAAAAATCAATATGAAAATTTTAAATGTTAATATAAGAGATTGTATGTGATACAAAATATTTATTCGATTGATTTTTGAAAACAAATTTTTATTATTGATTTTTTTAAGATTTTTTTTTATTTAAACTTTTTAGTTATTTTTTTAAGATTTTATTATTTTTAAAAATTTTAAGATAATATCAATTTTGTTGAATATTTCTCCTTATTTTATGCTATTGTAAAATAAATAACATATTTATTTTTCTTTCTATTTTTCCTAAAATATCAATTTAAAATCAAAATATATATGATGATTTTTGTAACGCAAAATAAATATATTATCATATCATAAGAGTTATAAAAATACAAATAACATAAACTATTTGAATAAAACCATTAAACCAAATAAAAAAAATACTATAAATTAGATTTCTTTAAATATTAAAATATTTTTAAAAAAAATATCTCAAAATTTTAAATATGTTATATATGAACATTTTTGAATTTAGTTGTCCATTTTTTTGGCAACAAAATTAATATGATCCATAAATATAGATAGTTTCTGTTATTATTATTTTGTTTATTAAAAAAAATAAATTTGCTGTCATTAATACTGTTTGGCAACTGGAATATATTTCATGAAATTTTTTTAAAAAATTGAGGGTGTTTGGTTTCAACTTGTCCTTCCCAATTAATAGTATAGATAATATAGTACAGATTAATGGATTTAACTACAACTAAAATGTGACAAAGCAAAATATTATTAGTATTTAAATTCTGTTTCTGAAAAGAAAAGAAAAAAGAGATTAGAGACCACGATAGAACTTTGACATGTCAAATTTTACATCATCATCATCATATATATAATTAATAATTTTCTATAATTATTTTCTAGAGTCCCTCCACACACGTTTCTGATGTATTATTATTATTATTATTATTTTTTAATATATAAAAAGAGATCTCTTTTCCGTAAAGGTCAAAATAAATATACAAAAAAGAAATTCTATATTTATTTATTAGCAGTTCATTTCTCTTAATTGCATTTCATCTATGGGAAAACTGAAAAGAAATAAGTAAGAGAAAGGAAGAAGCATTCAACGTTGTATTAATAAACCATTTGAAGCTCTGTAAAATAGAATAATTAGAAAACTCAGAGCGTTTACATTTGTTAAGTTATGTTAAAATAAGAAAGTCAGAGAGAGAGAGAGAGAGAGAGAGAGAGGCAGAGTAAGCTTTTCCAAATATGTAAGTAACGTCTCAAGTTACTAATTATATAATTATAAATATTAAAAGTAAAAAAAAATAAAAAATAAATAAGAAATAATAAAAGTCTTTATGTAAAAGTGAATGCAACTATCCTACCAAAAAAAAGAGAAGGTGAATGCAACTATAAGTACATAATTAAATAGCTCGTTCGTTCCTCTTTAATTAATTAATTGGTAGTAATAATCAGTGTTTTGTCTGCCTTCTCCTTTCTCTTCAATCCGATGGGTTTGGTGGGGAGATTTTAAGTAAAGCGTGCGATTTTTATTATATCTATATATAAAAAACAGACATCCTCTGTAACTCCTGTGTTCTTGCCTCTTCTTCTTCTGCTTCTGCTTCTTCTTCTTCTTCTCCTTCTTCGTTAATCGCTATATATGTTGTTGGTCTTTCATTTGTAATTCTGTATATATATATATATATATATAAATAGTAGAAAAGTTAGTTTCATCCTTTTCTGGTTTCTCTTAAGCTTCTGATCCGACGAAAGAAAGACAGCGCTCGCTTGTGTTTTGAACAAAAGATTCCGCGTAAATTAACTTGTTTTTTTGAATTGTGAGGTGAGAGGGAGAAAGAAAGATACCATTTCTTTTTACCAAAAAAAAAGACAGTCCAAAGACTTGTGTGGTTTTGGTCTGAAATCTCTTCTTGTTGTTGTTGTTGTTGCTGTAGTAGTTCATATGTGTTAGTTAATTTGGGTCGTAGGGGTCAGATACTTGATTGATTTCTCTCAAATCATTATGCATAGAGTACGCAATAAACCGACCGCTACGGTTAAGCATTTAATAAAACAGAGAGGCGGAGGTAGCGACGGAGCTACGGAGTCGGCGAACGATGATAATAGTAATAACAGTCTCCTGACGGATATGCAGGAACCTAGCATCGACACAGATAAACTCAGCTACGAGATTTTCTCCATTCTTGAGAGCAAGTTTCTTTTCGGGTACGACGACGACAACAAGGACGACCATCCCAAATTCAAATCAGTACCCGAACCCGAACCCGAACCCGCTAATTCTGTTAAGAACCAGAGGGGTAAAATCTGTATTCTGAGCATCGACGGTGGTGGAATGAGAGGTATTTTGCCCGGAAAGGCTTTGGCTTATCTGGAACACGCTCTCAAATCTAAATCGGGCGACCCGACTGCCCGAATCGCCGATTACTTTGACGTAGCCGCCGGCTCCGGTATAGGTGGGATTTACACTGCGATGCTCTTCGGGTCAAGAGACGGTAGCCGCCCCATCTTCACAGCAGAGGACACGTGGCAGTTCCTCACCAAAAACGCCAAGGGTCTTTACGGGTCTTCCGGAGGAATCTTGAAACGGGTCATGAGAACAACCGGGTCCGGTACGGCCAAGTTGAAGAAAGTGATGAAAGAGTCTTTCTCGGAGCTGACCTTAAAGGACACGCTTAAGCCTGTGCTTATACCTTGCTACGACCTCAAAAGCTCTGCGCCGTTTCTCTTCTCACGCGCCGACGCCCTTGAGACGGACGGCTTTGATTTTAGGCTCTGGGAGGTTTGTAGGGCGACTTGGGCTGAGCCTGGGGTGTTTCAGCCGGTGGAGATGAAGTCCGTTGACGGGCGGACCAAGTGCGTGGCCGTTGGTGGAGGATTAGCGATGAGCAATCCCACGGCGGCTGCGATCACGCATGTGCTGCACAACAAGCAGGAGTTTCCCTTTGTGCGAGGAGTCGAGGATCTGCTTGTGCTGTCTCTTGGTATGGGTCAGTTGCTTGATGTTAGCTATGAATACGACCAGATTATCAAGTGGACTGCTAAGCATTGGGCTCGCCCCGCGGCTCTTATATCTAATGACAGTGCTGCTGACACCGTCGACCAAGCTGTGGCCATGGCTTTTGGTCACTGCCGCAGTAGTAACTATGTCCGGATTCAGGTATTTGAAATATGCTCAGTGTTTGGTTTTAGAAACTCATACTTGTGATCCAATTTGAGTTAGTTGGAATGTTGGATTGTACATGTTGTTTGTCTCAAATTAATATATGTTTAATGTAGTTATGAATTGGTTGCAGGCCAATGGGTCGAGCTTAGGACCTTGCAGTCCAAACATAGACACAGACCCTAGTGGGAGCAATGTGAATATGCTGGTGGGTGTGGCGGAAGAGATGCTGAAGCAGAAGAATGTAGAATCGGTTTTGTTCGGAGGTAAGAGAATAGATGAACAAAGCAATTTCGAGAAGCTCGACTGGCTAGCCGGGGAACTCGTTCTCGAGCATCGAAGGAGAAATTGCAGAATCGCTCCAACCGTAGCGTTCAAGCAATCCGTCCATAGGGCAGATCAGAAGACAAGGGACAAGGATATCGGTGTGACCGCAAGAGAACGTTGAAATAAGAAATAATTTATCTAGGATTTAAAGCTTTTTTTTTTTTTCTGCTAAACCTTAGTTTAAAAGCTTAGGCCAAAGTTTTATTTATTTTCTTATCAGGTTATGATTTGTTGTATAGATTTTGTGTTTGAGTTTGAGTATCCGAAACATGATGAGAAAAGGGGAAACAAACACCTACTATCATCTTGCCAAAAAGGGCTCAACCTCCTTAATTCATGCTGCCAAAAAGAAAAGAATGACATGATTCCTGTAATTTCGGTTTGTCTTTGTTTTCCTATAAGCATCATTATTTCTTCTTTGACATTTCCACTAGCTCGAGATAAGCCAAGCTTTATGCAACACAAATGAAGTCTAAAATACATACATGTATTTATTTTATTGCCTTGTGCTTGCTTATGTAGAAAGAAGCTGCTTGGTTGGACACTTGGAATCTAAAAAGAACAGTTTATATTCTAACTTCTGAACAGTAAGGAATGAAACTAAAGTCTTGCGCAATTTTAACATAAACACGAACGAAATAATAGTATGTAAACTTTAACAAACAAAATAGTTGATTATTACGTATATGACAAGTAATGATTGATAAAATCTACAGAATGAATCACGGTAACATTCCACTAGTCCCGCCAATTCACGACTTACTTACTACTATTACTAATCAAATCGAATAAAGTCATCCAATAAAACACAACACTCTTGGTGTTCGTGATACGACACCATTAATGACAATAGCCATAAAATCTCACTTTATATAATCAATAGTAGTAGCTTCTCATGTTAAGAGTTTTTGTCAGATTCAATTTTAATGTGTTAAAAAGACTACACCATGTAAATTTGATTTTAATTTTCATGTGGGTTCCAAAGATGTGAAACATGGGAGAGCCTAATGAATATAACGTATCATGTGATCACATCGTTGGGATGCTTTCAACAAAAAAAAAAAAAAAAATACACATTATCTTTGAGAGGTTCCTTTATTTATTTGATTTGGTTAGGGAATTAGATTATCAATCCAAAAAGAAAACAAATGTTGTCGTTTGGTTCTTGCGCGTGTGCGTGCGTCGAGGGAGGGACGGTGCGGAGAACGTCACATAGATATATATATATCTGTGAGTAACCCCACGTCTTTGATTTGTCGGTTCGGACTCATCCACCGACACTCGAAACTATAGTTTTTTTGTTCAATTGTTTCCGAAAACTATATACTGATTTTGAGATCTTTTATTTTTCATTCCTATCAATTATATATGCGTCGGTCCAAATAGGTCTGCCTAGTAGCAAATTCCATCTTTAGTTTGGTTTGCATCTTTACGTGGCGTCATTTTTCATACGGACAAATAATTCGATGGTTGGCTCAACTTATAGTTTCGATCTGGACACGTACAAAGATTGGGTTCTAGTTCGGGTTACTCTAGTTTGAAAGAAATGTATAGCTAGATGCGGCTTTAATTTGGTTTTAGTTTGATGTTATAGTCATGATCCTATGCGATAGTATATATTCTAATGTTTGGATTGTTATAGTTTGTTAACTTACGAACCCTATAAAATATGTATGGATATGGTTGGTTAGGTTTGGTCACCCAAGGGTTTTGTGTTTGGTATAAGAATGTTTAAGCTTAGTTTAATGCATGTTTAGGTCAAATGACACTTAAAGGTTCATTTTTAAGTGTTAATCCTCTTAACACGAGAACAATATTAGTCATTATCCTTACCGTTAAATACTCAGATTCGTAATTTTTTTTTTTTTCTTTTTTTGATTTTAAATTATCTTTTTATTCTTATTTTTATGGGTGGACAACCATTACACCTAGTTGAACTACCGACACATAGGTAGATGAAACGGTTTTGTTTCTTTTTCAAACTTCAAAACGTATATGTCGAATATTTAAGTTTAACAACGATTTTATAATCGTATTTTCTAACCGGATTCAAATATGACCATATTTACAAACCGCAAAAGATTGCGAAAAAACAGTTTTAAATGGTTTAGGTCACTTATAGTACAACTACTACAAAGTAGATATGTTTCTAGTTTGTAGAAAAATTAAGCACCAAACCAAAAAAAGAAAAGAAATGGTTAGCTTGCATCAATAAGAACGCCGAAAGCGAAACTTTAGAACAAAGTGGGCTTCGAGTTCGCACTGTGTGTTCTTTCTTATTCAATAAACCTTTTTATTCTTGTCTTTTTTCTTTTGAGAAGTTGAAAATCTGAATTTTCACTAAGAAAAAGGCAGAAAAAAAAAGAAGGAAAAAGAAGAGAAGAGAGGTTTAGTAAATAGAAGAAAATCTTTGGAGTGGGATACTCTTGCCTAGCACCGGGTAAGCATCACGGGACCTACTCTCACGTCCACGACAGCTACATAATATGGCAATCTGACTTGGTCAATTTCTTAACCATATTTGTAATTTCTCCTTTTTAGTTATCTTTTCTTTCTTTAATCAATAGTCAATAGATACATATATGTGTGTACTAAGGACAAACGGAGATTCGTTTTTTCTTCTTTCAACATTATGAATTAAACGAGTTTCTAATTTTTATAAGATGTTTTTTTATATAATTAAATGATGTTTTATAGTATGAATTTTTATAAGAATGTTGATAAAGAAAAAAAAGATGTTTTAAAATTTTAAAAAATCATATAATTTGATATTTTTGGTATCTTCAATTCAAGAATAAATGCAAAATAAACAAATTTCGAAGTTTATTATTTCTACAGTTCTCTCTTTTATAAAATTTTCAGCATTAATTGATCATAAAGTATGGTGATTCAATCATTTCACAAAAATTTGTAATATCTGCGCATTCAACAAACACGTAATTCGTAAAATGAAAAAGGAGAACTTCTACTTTCCTTGATGAATTGACGTGTTATGTTACTATGTTCGCAGACCTTTTTTTCAGACGAAAAAAGAAGAGGACACTCGAGCCTCGAGGCCTTTTTTCAAGAAATGGAGAACAGTGTCTAATACCCATAGCTGTGTCGGTTTCTTGATTTGTAAAAATTATAGTTTTGGTTATTAGACCACTCGAAGCTGTTGCTCTGTTTAAACCTTTTTTTTTATTTAGACCAAAAGAAGAAGACAGATCCAGGAGTCATACAAGTAAAGGCCTCAACACTTATGATATGAGAAAGCCTTCAAAACGTATCTACCCCTATTGTTCTTCGTCTAATATATGTATATGCTATAATATGCTGACAAAATCGAAGAATTAATATATATCAAGAATTTTGATCTGAAAGATCCTAGCTAGAATTTTACAGAAAATAAAACATAAGTTTATGAGTATTAAGCTTCCGACGAAATCCTTATATACCAGAGAAATTATGTACCAAGCAACAAATAGGTATGTAAGGTTTCGTTGTTCTGGACATGATATAATGTCAAAAGATTTAAAATCCAAAACCAGTTCATGTGTTTCGGTGAAGTTAACGTTAATGTAGAACTACATCCGCATGTTCTATTCTTTTTACACGGAGACCGCATTTTCAATTACAGTTTTAAATTTAGTCACAATTATCTTGTAAAGATTTATATGTCTATACAACAACCTTGAAACCTAGTGTGCAAATAGATCACTCTTGTGTTATGTGTACCTTCACAACACTGATTTTGTTATTAATTTTATGAAAGAAAGAAAACAACACATGTTGTCAAGAAGAGTACTCTCATCTTTGGCCAGAGATATCAAACATCTCTTCTCTATTTAACATGACCAGAAATATCAAACATCTTCTCTATTCTGTAAGAAGCTTTAAACATGTATCTAAATCAGCACCATGTTCTTACATTTTCCCTTTAGTTAATGCAAATAACATTTTCGGCGGCTGATTGCTATTAATCCAAAAGTTAATTTTCTTTTCCATAACTAATTAAGTTCTATTTCTATCTCACCCCATTACGTGTGACTAATAAAGAACAAGAAAATATATAGAAGGCAAATAAATCACCCATCGTTACTACAAGACTGTCGAGACAGCGGTCGGGGTAAGACACCCAATATTCAAACCCACCAACTTCACTCCTAAACTCATAAAATGAAAAACAAGTGTGCGGAGGAAAGACAAGACCAATCTACGAAGAAACTCGGGTGGCTACCGCAGAGACCATCGAGTTAATCCCACATATATCGTGGCCACGACACAGCTTGTAGTACCCATCCTCTCCCCATTTCTTCCCCCACGAGTTCTTTATAATCCAATAGGGTTTATTACTAAGCCGCAAGATCGAAAACCCTTTTGATCCGTACCCAACAAGAAGTACTCCGTGGTTAATCTTTCTCTTGCTGCATATAAGCGGACACGACACTCCTCCTATATACGTCTGCATGAACACAGCGTTTAATCCCACTGCGTCATGACAACACAAAAACAAAAAAACATTAGTGGTTTTTTCTCTATATTTTCGGACTTTGAACGCAAAAATTGTTGGTTTTAGGTACGAACACATATATTAGTTAATAATATATATCACCTGCTAAGGGACCATGTTGAACTAAATTTGCTGCGATTTGATTCTCATCCAATGGTATAGTCGTGAAGTTCACTACTTTTACCGCAACCTTGTCAGGATCGAACTTGCACTGGCCACGTTTACCGGTGTACGGATATGATTTTTCCTCTTCTAAGCCTCCTGCCTCCATCAAATACTCGTAGGCATTTGTCATGAGCCCCCCACCACATCCATCGTCGCAAGCTTTCTTGTCCTTTGGATCGCACTATAGAAATATAGCAGAGAAATTTTCAAATTAAAAAACAAAAAGTACCAAATCAGATTGAAAATTCAAATACTTAATGGGCTGAATGAAAACAGACCGCTTTATCACAATCCACAAGTTGTTGTTCGCTAAGGCTGAGGAGCTTCCCGGTGGACACAAAATGGGCTCCTTCAGCTGCTCCTGTCGTGCTAAAAGCCCAGCACGATCCACATGCACCCTTCACATCCACATACATCACGTACTTAAAAAACCCATTGACAATTAATATATTAACATAACACATTATCCTACATCAAATTAATCCAAACGAAATATGAATCATAACTAGACTAGTTCTGAAACTATCAACCTACCACCAAGGCACCAAGTGCCAATTATCAATATTTAATAATTAGACATTTTTCTCAAATTTTTTCTACGTTTGCAATCAAATATATAATCCAAGCCTTAAGACAAATATAAATATAAATGTGACATTCTGGAAAGAAAGAACATACTTGATTCTTAACCTCAGTAACTCCACCTTTCTCCCTCCAGTCAAAATCGTCAGGTAATCCCTCAACATCAACCATGGGTGCCTCAGCTCCAACCGTAACGCCATGACCGCGGTCAACATCGGCTACTCCGGTGTACATCCGCTTGAACTCGTCTTCGGTGAGGTCAGAGAACTGCGTAACTCCATGGACGGCAGTAGGATCCATCATCTGGTGCTCAGCCGCCTTGAGGACGTTTTTGGCGAATATCCCGAGGCGGTGAACGTACTCCTCCCTTGTGGAGTAGCTCTTGCCGAAGTCCGACATAAAAACCCGAAATTTGCTCTCCGTGTGAGTTCCGAGGAGATTAGGGCGCACTTGACGACCATCGTCCGTGACTTGGCGTATGGTGATGTCATCTACGGAAGCTACCGCGTGGAAGAAGAAGATGGCGCATGTTATCAGCTGTGCTAAGGCCTTAGCCACCATGATCGCTGTTATCAAATGGGTCTTGTTTTGAGGTGGCCTTAGTTAGTCCCTAGAGATCTCGATGGGTTTGTGTGTGTGTATATAAAGAGAGGTAACGAAAGTGTTGGAGATTTTACATGCAGAGTAGAGACACGTGGGATGTTTGCATGTAAGTAATTAGTCTCACACAGTGAAGCTGCAAGACACGTATCTACGCCATTTGAAAGTTATCAATCTAGAAAGAAACAAAAAGAGTAAAGATTGGTCAATTTTGTTTCTTTTAGTGATAAATCGAATTAAGTTTTAGGTTAGGCCGTTAGGGTTTACCATTACACGGTTTTTTGGTACTCTTACTCAATATCCATTAAACTCATAGATTTTAAAGTGTTGATATAGTTCCACTAATGTTACAAATCAGAATCCATCCATACGTTTTCTCTTTGTTGGACCTGGCATTGAAGAAAAAGGCAGTTTTATTATCCCACATCTTGATGCCAAAAATTGCCGGATCCAACAGCAAGACACTGGTTTGATATATAGAGGGCTTCGGCCCAAATATATCTATGATTTTGTAAAATCCAATTTAAAAACATGTAGTATTTTTTTTCTAGAAAACCCAACAGATACTGTATTTTCTTATTTGAGATTTTACTAGTTTTTAGATATTTTAAGAGAATAATAAAATCTTTGAAATCCCTCTAACAATCATGTGTGTTTGTTTTATGAAATCTAAAAATATTTAACCAAAGCTAATGAATAATATAATTATCCTCTTGGAAAAAAATGGGTTAAAAATACATGTCCCCAAATGTGATGCTCCTCCTCCTTCATTCATACATCAAATCTTCTCACGGTGTTTCTGGTATTGCCTGAAGAACACATTCTTCTCACGTTCCCGTTGGCCTAAATGCTTCTTTCTCCATCTCCGATCTCAGCTTCTCCCTCCATTCATTGCTTGACAGGTAAAAGTATATCTTCTTTCTCATCTTCGTTTCAATCCCTTTTTAAATTTTAAATCTCATTATATTCTCTCTCACGACGAATCTTTTCTATTCTTGTTGTGATATCAATCCCAAAAAAAAGGTTACGTTTTGAGTCAAAATCGAAGATGTTCAACAAAATCATAAAACTGGGTCAGAAGAAATTCAACAAATCAGATCAACACCACCAAGATAACAACGCCTCCACCAACAACGTCGTTCGCGCCAGCCGCACCACAACCGCCGCCGCGTCCTCTGTTTCAAATGGCGAGTCTCAGGCGACGGCTTCATCTCCTTCGCAGACACCGATTCACCCAATGTTCACATCAACGCCGACCCTCGAAGTGCTTCCGTTGTTAAAAGACGTGTCTTCCTCAGATCGACCTCTCCTCTTCATGAAGAAGGCTCACATGTGTTCCTGCCATTGCGATTTCTCTGATACTCTGATAATGCCACGCGAGAAAGAGATCAAAAGGCAGACACTTCTCGAACTGGTTGATTTCCTTCACTCTTCCTCCGCTAAAGTCAATGAGACGATGCAGAGTGAGCTCATCAGAATGGTTTCAGCTAACATTTTCCGGTGTCTCCCACCGGCGCATTATGAGAACACTGGAGCTCCTCCTGAAGGGAACGATCCTGAAGAAGAAGAGCCTTATCTTGAGCCATGGTGGCCTCATTTGCAGCTCGTCTACGAGCTTCTTCTGCGGTATGTAGTCTCTTCCGAAATCGAGCCTAAGACTGCGAAAAAGTTCATCAATCACATCTTTGTGTCGAGGTTACTTGATTTGTTTGACTCCGAGGATCCCAGGGAGAGGGAATATCTGAAAACTGTACTTCATAGGATCTATGGCAAGTTTATATTTCACCGCCCGTTCATTAGGTGTTCGATTTATAATGTTTTCTACAAGTTCTTGTACGAGACTGAGAGGTGCATTGGTATTGGAGAGTTGTTGGAGATCCTTGGAAGTGTGATCAATGGATTTACAGTACCTATGAGAGAGGAGCATAGGTTGTATCTTGTCAAAGCTATTTTGCCGCTACATAAGTCTAAGAGTATCTCCATTTACCACCAGCAGTTGTCGTATTGCGTGACACAGTTTGTGGAGAAAGATTACAAGTTGGCTGATACCGTGATCCGCGGGTTGTTGAAGTTTTGGCCGCTTACCAATTGTCAAAAGGAGGTTCTGTTCTTGGGCGAGTTGGAAGAAGTCTTGGATGCTACAGAGCCCTCTGAGTTTCAGCATTGTGTTGTTCCTCTGTTTACTCAGATTGGGAAATGTCTTAATAGCGCACACTTCCAGGTTCGTTCTTTTTGAGTTTTGTACTTAAAAAAGCTAGTCATAGTTACAAAAGTCATAACATTTTCTTGAGTTATGGAGTTTAACTGTTGATAAGGGATGTGAGGATTTCAGGTGGCAGAGAGAGCTCTTTTCTTGTGGAACAATGAACATATCGTAGGACTGATTGCGCAGAACAAAGACGTGATCTTCCCGATTATCTTTGAAGCATTGGAGAGGAACATGAAAGGACATTGGAACCAAGCGGTGCACGGTCTCTCTGAGAACGTTAGAAGAATGTTTCTTGAGATGGACACTGAGCTCTTTGAAGAGTGCGAGAAACAACACTCCGAGAACGAAGCTAAGGCATGCGAGTTGTTGGAACAAAGAGAATTGACATGGAAGAGACTTGAAGAAGCTGCTTCTCTAGCAGCTTAACTAATTCCCATTTGACGACTTTGTAGCTATCTTTTTTTTTCTTTACTTTTCAAAGGTAATGTTCTTAGAAACACTCTAATAATTGGTTCATTTGTTTGTTCTTTGCATTTTTTGGTCTCTTGTAAATGGCGACCGGGAATATTAATCCACATGTCGCCGACGAGATCATGTCATAGAAGATAAATTTAGTGCTGTTTATTGCAGCTTCTGCAAAACTTGGTAGGAACTGATTTTTAATGAAGACACTGATTTTTGACTAGGACTTAAAGATTATAATTGGGTTGGTCTATATTTTCAACACTCTGTACCAACACCTTTTTTTTAACGTTAATGGAGTGGAGACATAGAAACAAAAAAGTTTGACTAAATAGAAAGATGAAAATGTTACATCATCCTAATGAACCAATGCATTTGATTGGATGAGACAAAGTTCGTCTTTGACGTTGCCTCCTTCATAAAAAATCCCATTTCGGTTCTTGTATTGTTGCAATACAAAAACCAAACTAAAAAGAAAGAAGAAAAAGGTAAGAAAATAATGGAGAGAGCCAAGCCACTTTACACCAAAAACCAATCAATTGAACGGTCCAAATCCTATTTGTTATCCATCCGTTCTTCTACCACAATAATAGAGTTGATGACAATGACAAAAACGAAATCATTAACAAAGAGAACAATAACGTTAAACGCGACCGCGGCTGCTGGGCATTGCTTCCAAATATCATCCCGAAGAAGTCGTCACCGTTGCTGTTGCTGCTGCTGCTACTTCCTCTTGTCGTACCGCCCATACCACTCATGTCGCCGAGCCCTCCACTACCGCTGCTGCCACCGTCTCCGCCTCCATACGGTGAATAAGAATTGCCACTCTGACCTTGATCATCCCTGCACTCACCAAAAAGATCATTTCATTAACAAGTTATTTAATAAAACAAAAAGTCAAAAAAGGATACAAAAAAATAAATGCGATTTAAAAGGACTTTATAGATCCATAGAAAAAGGAATCATATATTCTTTTTTTTTTTCTACGTAAAAGGGTCCCCTCCCACTCCCAACTCCCTAAACCACATTTTCATCATAATGACATCATTACACCCCAATAGAAAAGAAAAACTAAATTGGCTTTTAGTACTACTCCTATTATAAAGTGAGTAAAAGGGGGATAAATAAATTACATTTAGATGTATCAAAATGTAGTTGCATCATTATCATGAATCATGATCGTGCATGTCCTTAATTAAAACTATGACAGACAATTAGACCGCCCAATATAATCCCAAAGGGACAAACTAAAATGATAGAAAATTGCAAGTGGGGGTTCAGACATTGGTCAAGTTGGTCGGTTCCCCAAGCAGACGATCACGTGCGTCCTTTTCTCTCTACTTGAATACTAGCTGCCAATATCCTATTGTCTCTCTCATATTCTCTCAAGTTACACTTTTTTTCTTTTTTTATATATTCTTTATTCAAATTCAAATTATTAATGATTTTGCCATAGTTTCCTATTAATACTCTACTACATTTCTTCTATGAAAATAGAATGTAAATTGAGAACCTCAAAATTAATGACTGCTTCCTAGACAACTTTTAAAAACCCATAAATATAATAAGTTTAAAACAAGACATAGTGACAATAATCATAAACTAGACTCCAAAAATAGAGAGAGACTAAACACAAAACCAAAATCACTACTAGTATTAGAAAAATACGGTTGTTACGAACTTAACGACAATAAACAAATCATACGGCTCCTCTATCATCTTACTAAGCACGCGCTTTCACAGCTAATTACAATTATATAAGTAGAATCATGCATCACTATTTTTATATATAAAAAATTAAATGTTTTGTTTAAAAAAAAAGAAGGGTAAAAAAGGAAAAAGAGTGAGGAAAAAGTAGTAAGTAGAAGAAGTAAAAAAGAACCTGGGACCGCCGAAAACGCCAGCGTTTCGAGTGAGGGTGTTTACGAGAGAAGCAGCTTTAGGGTCCACGCTAGAAGCTTTAGAGTACATGGAGCTCACTCCTTCACCCGATGCCACAAAGAAAGCTCCGTTCTCCATCAGATCTCCTTCTGATCTCCAGTTCCAATTCGCCCATTCTCCATCGTCCTTCGAGTCCACTCTCTTCGTCACCTGCTTTTTTTTTTTTTTTTTCAAACCAATCAGCTTACTTACACAATCTCTATGTCCCACGCGCCTTCAGTAGCGCGTGTTGGTATTACTTAAAACAACAACCAAAAGAGAAAGTGTGTGGAGGACAGGACAGAGAAGAAGAAGAAGAAGAAGAAGAAGAAGAAGAAGGAAGCAAGCAGCCCACATGGCTGTCATGCACTTACACTATACGTACATACCATCACTGTCTCCCCTCCTCGTAGACCCAATTCCTCATACAAAATTAAGATTCTTTCTTCTTCTTTTTTCTTTTCTTTCTCATTTACCATTAAAACTTTAACCGGTTTGGATTTTTTTTTCCTACTAGCTAAAGATTAACAACTGTCCATGTGAATTATGAACTGGACTTATCGGAAAGAAGATAGAACCATACGTATACTCTTAAGCATTTTTACTAGCCAAAACCCAACGACTGACTACTACACATTTGTCAATCACTCAATCAAAAGTTCTCTATCATCTAAAAGATCTATCCACAAAAACATACTAAAGTTCTCAGACACTTAAAAGGAAAGGTTTTTTAGATTTGGGTAATTCACAAAAAAATGTAAAATTTGTAATCAAAAAGAAGAAAAGTTAACCTCTTTGGCGCTAGGATCAGAAGGAGCAGCGTAACGATTTCCTTGGCTGTTAATGGTGGGATTACCACTACCACCAATTGCATACATCTTCCACTCTGTGAAGTCATTATTCACAACATGAATATAACCTCTCCGACATCTAGGCATCCTCTGAACCAGGCCTTGTCCGAAATGGTTAAACGCTATCGTCACCTGCATCCCCGTATCCGGAGCATAGTTATCGTCATGACCCAACAACATCACCTCGTCGTGGTGCGCGAAGTAGTTGTTGGATATGGTTATAGCTGTTGAACCCATCACAGCATCTATAAGCCCGTCGGTGCAGTGGCTCATCGAGCAATGGTCAACCCAGATCTTTTGAGATCCGAAGATCGAGATCCCATCTCCGTCGGATCTACCTCGTTTCTCGAATCCAGCTGAAGGTTTACAGTCGTAGATGTGGAGATTGTGGATGATGATGTGTTGAACGTATTGTAGAGTTAAGCATCCGTTTCCTGTGATGTGTACTGCTGATCCACGCCCGTCCAAGGTTTTGTAGCTGCTGATTATGAGTTCTTGTTTCAATCTGATGAGCATGTTCGAGGAGAAGACGATCCACAGTGGCTCTTCTTGGATTGCGCCGTAACGGAGTGTTCCTGGAGTTGGGTTTGTTGGGTTGTTGTCGGAGGAGTCTGTAACGACGTAGATCTTGCCGTTTTTGCCTCCCAGTGTCCCGTGTCCGAAGCCGATTGAACAGTCGGCCAGTCTTTGACGGTTTGATGACCAGTCTGAGTCGCTGCACTTCCAGCAATCGTCGATTGGGTTTCCGGTACGGCAAGAGGAGGATGAGGATGATGATGAGGACGAGGAAGAGGAGGAGCCTAGTTGTCTTCTTGCAAGAGATGCATTCACACTCCTGTGTTAATTGTGGAAGAGGTAGAAAAAGAAAGTTTCAGTTTTTATTTTCCTTTTCTGGAAAAATGTGAAATGAGAGAGGGAGGGAACTTTTGTTTACCTGATGACATGGAGAGCGACGGAATCAGGGTAAGGATGCTGGTGAGGGAGAGTGAGATTTAGGGGTTTAGTGGCGGCGAGGAGTGTGAAGAAGAGGCAGAGCATGAAAATGGTGCTTGCGAAGTTTGGAAGAAGCATCGTTAATGGCGGATTGTGACTTGGTGCTTGCTTTATTTTGGCGGTGAATGTTGGTTGGTCTGGTAAGTGTCAGAAGAGGAATGTTGGTTGAGAAATGTGGAGGGAGAGAAGCTGAGAAGGATTTGAAATCCACATGAGAGAAAGCTTTGTAGAAGAGGAGGAGGAGAAGAAGAAGAAGAAGAAGAAGCTGCTGCTTTATCTCTCTCTCACTCTCTCTCTCTCTGCTTCTCTGCAATCTTGCTGGAAACAAACAAGGCTAGTAGGTTTTCTTGAGATTTTGATTCTGTTTCTTAGGGAATTTGTGTCCACTTGCATGGTGATTGGTTAAAATATGGGCCTTTTGCTTGCCAAGAAAGCCCATATTTATATTGATCCAATAGGCCTAGTTAATTTATTTGTGGAGCACAACAACACATCACACTTCTCGTATAAAGTTGGTCCATTACTTCGACTTGTAATGTTTTTTTTTTTTTTTTACATCCTTCGACTTGTAGTGTTTGTTTTTTCCTTTTTTTTGGTATGTCATATGCACTGTTTGATCTTTGAATGATTTAGGACTCCAAATTTTGCTTTTACCAAAAGAGTTTTAACATTGACATCAGGCCCAGTAAGATGCCCATCAGTCATGATGAATTAAACCTTTCGCTAACCCAAATTAAATGGAAGCCGAACAGTTTGATAAAGTGGGGTGATTGGTGAGCACCGACGGCGAGGACGACGCTTTGCCATTCCCGATGCTCGGCGATTCCTAATTTCCTATACCTTCTGATAAACCAAACTTAGTTCATCTTCCTGGACTCCTAGTTCAGACAACCAGTCTACTCAGCATTGAAAAGGGTATACATTTCTTTCTGTATAATTTCTGATTCTGGTTCCCGAGAGGCGAGCCTCCAGCTTTCTCTAAGGTTTTGTCCGGTTTCTTCTTGTGTCTGAGTCTTCACTTGTTGATACTATTTCGTTCTGTTAGCTTCTTCAGCCTTCAAGATGTTTTATTGTGTTGTTTTTCTTCTTATCAAGGTCGGAACTGTGTGAACGGTAACAACAGTAACTTGAGGTTTATAAATATATTTATATATGGACAAAATCAGCGGGTTATCTGATGAGTTGCTTATTAAGATATTGTTGTTTGTTCCGACAAAAGTTGCTGTATCCACTAGCATCTTGTCAAAACGATGGGAGTATCTTTGGATGTGGTTGCCTAAACTTGATTACGGTAGTAGTTATGATTCACCCTCTCAACGCGAGAAGTTGCGGTGTTTTCTTGAAAAAAATCTGCCATTACATAGAGCTCCGGTTATAGAAAGCTTCCGTCTTGACTTAATTAGTTCAAAACATAATAGTCCTGAGAGTATCAAGCTGTGGGTTGTACTAGCAGTTTCTCACTGCTTACGTGAGCTGGAGGTTATTTATGATAATTATCAGCGGAAGCCAAACATATTGCCGAGTAACTTGTATACCTGTAAATCGCTCGTGATCTTGAAACTCCAAGGCGATATTCTCGTGGATGTTCCTCGAATGGTTTTTCTCCCCTCTCTGAAAACTATGCATATTCGAAGTGTGAGATACTTAAATGAAGGATCTCTTCAGCGGCTTCTATCTAATTGCCCTGTTCTTGAAGATCTATTGGTGGATTTAAGTGTGGGTGACAGAATTGGAAAGTTAACCGTTGCTGTGCCATCTTTGCAGAGTTTATCGCTCTATGTACCTAATTCTTATGATGTCGATGGGATTGTGATAGAAACTCCTTCTTTAAAGTATTTTAAACTTCTAGATCATAATAGAAAGAGTCACTACTGCTTGGTTGAGAATATGCCTAACCTGATCGACGCATTTGTAGATGTTGATTTACATAACATCAATAGTCTTATTGGATCAATCACATCTGTCAAGCGTCTAACAATATGTTCAGAGGTAACCATTTTCCATTTACCAACTCATTTATATAATCATTTGTTGTTAATTTAATATATTTTGCGCAGGCTATGTATGTTGAAGGTTTTGTCTTCAACCAGCTTGAACATCTGAAGCTATGTTTCGGAAAGTTTTCTTCGGACCTGCTTGTTCGGCTGCTCAAAGATTCTTCAAAGTTAAAAGTTCTGGACCTTTACGAAATGGATGTAAGTTTGTTCATTAAACTAATTTTTTTCTTTCTTGCTGGATGCCCAACACGTTTTTAGTATTCATCTGTTTGATCTCAGGATCATTTCCATGATGATAGAATGGTTTACTTGAATCAACCAAGTAGTGTCCCTGAATGTATGTTGTTGAGTCTACAAACTTTCAAGTGGTGGGGATACACAGGAACACCAGGAGAGAGAGATCTTGCAGTTTATATCTTGAAAAATGCCGTTCACCTGAAGACTATGACAATCAGCTCATCTGAACACGAAGTTCCAGAATTAGAGATGATAAAGGAGTTGGCACTTTCTTCTAGAGCTTCAACGACATGCCAACTCGTGTTTGATTAAGCCATTGATCATTAAAAAAAAACTATGTCCTTTATGTTGTTTTTTTTTTTTTTCGAACAAATCCTTTATGTTGTTAAATCTCAAAGAGACAAAGACATGCTCACTAGTCACTACACTCTGGCTTAGTGGCGTTGTTTGGTAACAGGGTTTATTTTATTCCATTCTCCCGTGCACTAAAGTGTTTTGTGGCTCATAAACTCATCATTACCCTTTCAACTTACTCAAATTCCAAATCATAAAAAATGGCTCTCCGATCTATCAAGTCGCCGACGTTGATAACTCCCACCGCCGTCGTCTCCTCCTCCGTCATCAACAAGCCTCAATCCATCCGATTCTCTCTTAAACCGACGGCGACACTCGCCGTTCACAACCGGCAGCCATCGTTCTACGGCATCGGTTCGTATCTCAAGCTCAAACCAACGAAATTCCGATGCTCTGCGTCGGCGCTCTCGCCGCAGCTGAAAGATACGCTGGAGAAACTGGTGAATTCGGAGAAAGTGGTTCTGTTCATGAAAGGAAATAAAGATTTCCCGATGTGCGGATTCTCCAACACGGTGGTTCAGATCCTGAAGAACCTGAATGTTCCATTTGAAGATGTGAACATTCTGGAGAATGAGATGCTGAGGCAAGGGCTTAAAGAGTACTCCAATTGGCCGACGTTTCCTCAGCTTTACATCGGCGGTGAGTTTTTCGGTGGTTGTGATATCACTATTGAGGCATTTAAGAGTGGAGAGTTGCAGGAAGTGGTCGAGAGAGCTATGTGCTCTTGATTGAATGTGGCTCAGTACCTTTTGTACTGATGAATTGATATGTCTATCCTATCCCCTGGAAAAAAACTGTGTCTTTTTTGATGTCTCAGACTCAGACTCAAGAGTTTATGGATGTAACATTAAACTGGTTTTAGGTATAGAACAGTACAATATCTGTGAATTCTGAGTCTCCTTATGGATTGATCCTTTTGTTATATGTTTGGCATGCAATGTTGTATTGTTTCTTGAAATGTGCATCTGTGAGGTTACTTGATGCTTGGGAGAGAGAGAGAGACATAGCCAGCCACATAGGTAGTTGATGCAACCTTCTGATACCGAGATTTCAATATATAGATACCTTTCTGAGAATTACTCTTAGTTGTTTCTCTGACAAAGAGTTTCTCAAGTCATGGGCTGTTTTGTTCATCCTTGAAGATGGGTCTGAATGAGATCTTCGCAGTCACTTGAGTGCAGATTGCAGAGATTAGAGAAGTGATGATCATATGCAGAAAATGGTACTTCACCAATAAAGCCAAAATTTTGGTCCATGGTTTTCAGAAATCACCAACTTATATTGTACAAGAAAGGACAAACGTGAAAACTTACCGCAGTCCATCACTCATCAAGAATCTTCTAAGATCCACATTGTCTTAGGAAGCAAAATGTCTCAGGACCAAACTCGCAATAACGCTGTCTCACAATTTAATATTGGTTCGGTAATCCATCTTAAGACGTATGATTTAGCCTCGCATGGGTTAGAAAGTTGAAGCAAACGTTTTTCCAAGTTTTACTGGTTTCTTAAGTCAAAGATTAACCGTCTTAAAACAGTGGTACAAGTGTGTTTTTCTCTTAACCTGGAGGTGGTGACCAAACCGGGGGACTTATCTGATGAGCTCGTCTCATCACACTTTGGTTGGCGAGGAGGATAAAATGGCAAAATTGTAAATCAGGCAGATTCGGGATTAATCTGAACCACAGAGTGCAGATTGGGATAATCAAAGAGAAGAACATGATATAGAGAAGACACGTGGCCCAATGAAAAAGCCACGGGGGCTCTGTATAGCCAATTGCAATCTGATTTTAGATTCGCATCGAACAAAACCTTACTTATACGATCACTCTCCCATATTCACACTTCCACCAAACACCTCCCTCGTCCACATCTTTTCTCTCTTTTGGTGGCAAACACACTACGACTGTGAGAGAAACGATGGCGTCCAACTCGTTAATGAGCTGCGGCATCGCCGCCGTGTACCCTTCGCTTCTCTCTTCTTCCAAGTCTAAATTCGTCTCCGCCGGAGTCCCGCTCCCCAACGCCGGGAACGTTGGCCGTATCAGAATGGCTGCTCACTGGATGCCCGGCGAGCCACGACCAGCTTATCTTGACGGTTCTGCTCCTGGGTACGCCATTTTTATAAATTCGAATCCTTTTGCTCTGTTTCTCACTCATTTTGCAATAGGGACCCGTCTCTCCCTGTTACTCAATTTGTTAGATTAGATGTGTATAAAGAAAAGTTTGGAATCTCTTTGATGCACGATTGGAGGATGTTTAAAGCTTCAGTCTTTAAGTTATTGCGTATACATTACACACCTATCATAGATTCGTCTCTTTTTACTCTGTTTATTGCAGAACTTGGAACCATGTTTTTTCTGCCTCTGTTTTGGTCACTTTATTATATGTGTGTCTATAGAGATTAGAGACATTCTGATTTAACATTGGAGGCTGAATAAAAAGCTTCATGGATTCAAAGTTATTGATTGGGTACAAAATTGTGCAGTGACTTTGGGTTTGACCCACTTGGACTAGGAGAGGTTCCAGAGAACCTTGAGAGATACAAAGAATCAGAGCTCATCCACTGTAGATGGGCTATGCTCGCTGTTGTAAGTTTCACTATCCAGTCTTTGTCTTATCATAAGGGTGTAGTCTTGTTAAGTTTAGTCTAATGAAATTGGTTTGTGGTGTGTTGTAGCCTGGGATTTTGGTACCAGAAGCATTGGGATATGGAAACTGGGTTAAAGCTCAGGAATGGGCAGCATTACCAGGGGGTCAAGCCACTTACTTGGGAAACCCTGTCCCGTGGGGTACTTTGCCCACAATCTTGGCCATTGAGTTCCTTGCTATCGCATTTGTCGAGCACCAGAGAAGTATGGAGAAAGACCCTGAGAAAAAGAAGTACCCAGGAGGTGCATTTGACCCTCTCGGATACTCAAAGGACCCCAAGAAGTTGGAGGAATTGAAGGTCAAGGAGATCAAGAACGGTAAGCACACACAACAACGTACCATTATTCTGGATCAACTTATGTAGAAGAAATGTGTATCTAATGTTAATGTTTTCTTCTTGGTGGGTATGACGACAGGGCGTCTAGCGTTGTTGGCGTTTGTGGGATTCTGTGTGCAACAATCAGCTTACCCGGGGACAGGACCATTGGAGAATCTTGCAACTCACTTGGCGGATCCATGGCACAACAACATTGGCGATATTGTTATCCCTTTGAACTAATGAATGTAAAAATAGAAATATGTACCTTATGAGCTTTGTGTGTATCAAAACACTGTGTAATGAAAGACAGATTGTGGAAAACCTGTATTTTGGCTTGGTGATCGTCGATTGCTCATGTCAGCTTGAATTCTAAATGATGAAGAAACCTTTTGAACCCCCAAATATGGTTAACTTGTAACATCCAATTTCTGTTGTTATATTAAAATCTTATGCTTCTTCGGAACTAAACTTACATCATTTACAGAACAAACATAGTAGTTAGCTCATGACTATTTGTTTGATTTCTATCCAAACCAACCAATATGATATTTGTTTATGTCAAGTTTACAACTTAAATAAATGGTTAATGAACCACCCACAAGACATATGCATCATGCCTAATATACATTTGAGTTTTAATATACTAATCTTCACCTTAAAAAAATAATTTACTTTCTGAACAGATTCATTTATTTTTCCCTTTCATCTCAACCATAAAATTTTAATGAGAACAAATTTCTAGAAGATCTTTAAATAATTAGTGGTTGATTATATTTGAGTTAGAATTTGAGGAAAAATAATCAAATATCACATTATTAATGTTTTAAAGATTTTAATCCATTTATGGATAATCACCCATCCATTATAAGGTGACTTTTCAATCTAATTAGTTAATCTGAACCTATTTTATAAGTCAAATACTAATGAATAAAGAAAACTTAATACTAGTATTGAACATGTGACAAAAATTTCTAGAAAATAAGATCTTCAACATTAAGTGGTTTCATTTATATTTGAGTTAGAATTTGAGAAAATAAAATCAACCAAAATTTTCAACAATACAATGGCTGATTATATTTGAGTTAGAATTTGAGGAAAAATAATCAAATACCACATTACTGTTATACAGATTTCAATTCATTTATGGATAATCATTCCATTATTAGGTGACTTTTCAATCTGATTATTATTTAAACTGAGTTTATTTTATAAGTCAAATAATAATGAATAAAGAAAAACTTAATACTAGTATTGAACATGTGACAAAAATTTCAACAATGTGTGCCAAATATAATAAAAGATGGAGCTATCTTCCTAATCACATCCACGTAAGATTGAGATAGAAACTTGAGCTGCGTGGGGCTTGCTTCTTACTTCTTATTATATTTTTTCTGTCTCTTTGACCCCATAAAAAAGATAGATCTAGATAGTAGATTTTACTCATCTCATATTCTCATCTACAAGTAAACTCTTTAAACTTTTTTTTTCTTCTTTTGAATTCTATTTTTGGTTCAAAATAATTCTTTTTTAAAAGTTTATTTTTAGTTGATTTTTCATTGACTCAAGAATCTAAATCTTTTTTTTTTTCATTTACATATAAAACCTAAAGAGAAAACAACTAATTCAGTTTTCAATCCCTCCACCAAATTTTCTGCTCATACTTCCCCATTAAGGTAATAATCATCATCAACCCTTTCTTATGTAACAAACTTTCTCTTTCTGTCACGACCTTTTCTTGGTTTCTCCTTAGAAATAAAAAGATTTGGATCTTGAATGCTTTTGATCTGTTTTATTTTGGATCTTGATATATATACTTCACCGGAAATGCCATTGTTTGAGTCCCAATATCCTTCTTCAAGGGAAAAAAACAAGTTCTGTTAATGAAAAATCTCTGTTTTTTTGTTTGATGCCTTTATCTAGATAAAAAAAAAAAGAGTTGGTAATGGATTTGAACGCAATGTATTAAAAAGGACAATCTTTTTTTTTTTGTTTGGCAATGAGTTTGGTGTCTATGGTGGTTTGGATCTTTCTTTCATAGTAATGTATTGTTTCCTGAGAAAAATCTGGTTTTCTTATGTTTTCTTGAATCTTCTCCAGGGTTTTCCACAAGCTGATTGATGAAGATGTCAATGAGGTAAATTGAAACCAACCCCTTTCTTGTAACAGTTTCATGCTTTCTCTTTTTTGTTGAAATGGGATTTTTAATTGGTTTACTGTTGTTTCTTTTAGCAGCTTGTGTGGAAACCTTTGATGTTTTTGTATGTGGATGTGAATTGGTTGGTATAAACCGGGTTTATTCGTAAAGGAATGATCATTCGATTGAATAAGAATGGAGCTTTATACTGCAAATTGTCTGTCCAACGAAAACAAACCTACTCTTGAGCTTTCAAAATTAGTCAAAGAAGAGAAAAGCTCGGTGAAAACGAACACCGAAAACAATCTTACTGATCTTGTGAATCATGGTACATTTCACACCCTTCAGCTTAAGACGATGATTGCTTCTTATCAATCGCTGTTGTAAAAATTCAAACTTTGTTTTGACTATCCTAAACTATGAAAAGAATCTACATCCAATTTTCTCTGCTGACCCGCCTAGTGGGCGTGACACCAACAGATATTTCAACTTTTGATATTTGTGTTCTTTATCAGCACTATCTATAACCATCTTTCTTGATTACAGGTGCAAAGATGTGGCAAGAAAACAGGGAAAAATGGGTGGGAGACCAATCTCGACAAAGAGAACACTCTGCAAAGGATCAGATCATAAGGTATTATTTGTTTGTATCATGCAACATTAAGTTCATTTGACAATCTTTTTTGCAGTGTCAAAGAATCAGGAGAAATGATCAGTATAAGTAATGTTTACTAAGACAATCTTGAAACTATTGCAGCTGGTCTACTACATATGAAGATCTTCTCTCAACTCATGAACCTTTCTCTGAGTCGATTCCTTTACCCGTAAGCTTAGTTTAACCCCAGTTTCTACCTGAGTTATAAAAGGAAAGAAGCTAAAATCATTCTCCATATCTAATTTTCCCATTTGATCTGTATGTATGTAGGAGATGGTGGACTTTCTGGTCGATATTTGGTACGATGAAGGCCTTTACGATTAGAAGAATCTGACAATGCCACGAACTAGATTGACAAACAACAACGAAGGAGTGATTCATTTGAACTTAAATCTTAGGGGTTGTGAAACTATCTCTATTTGTTATATCCATATCTCATGAGAAGAAGACTGTGATCACTCACATAGTCTATCTTTAACATTTATATGATTGTTTAAAATGGCCCAATGGATTCCAAATAAGATTTTGATTACGTTTCAGCAAAGTTAAGCGTAGTAATAGTAAGCAGATTCAATTAGAGTTGAGTTTCATCTGTGTATCAATCTTACATTGGAGAATTGTTCACACTATTGACTACAGATCAAGAACGCATGGAAAAATCATGAAAACTGTTCACAAAAATTAGCAATGGATTCCACATCCAAAAATCCAAGGGAGACATTATACAACATTCCTATTGTAAGAATCTTAGTTGTCTCTCCTTGATTGTCCTTGTCGTCCATATATATCATCCCAATCACAAAGTCAATCTAATGACATTCTCACAGACTCAGCTAAGAATCTGTACCACTCGCCAGTTATGTTATGTACATGTCTTTTCTTTCACCTCTTGTTCAGCTTGAGAAGTAAGGGTTTGTTTTGAGTATCTTCTTTGCTAAACTGCGAATATCATCTCTACTCGACTCCACAGATATCCTTACAATCTCTGTCACGCTTCCTGTTCTTTTGAAATCATTCGCATTTTCCTCTGCATCGAAATGAAGGAGATACAGACATTAGCCATATGTCCCAACATTTGATAAAAGAAGTGGGCTCTTCTAGATAGTAGAATGAAGAAGTGAGCTTACCATTTTGAGCTAAATGGCAAAGCGCAAGCTCGATGTGACGTTGTGTTGATGCTGAATCAATATGTGAGTTTGAAGTCAACCATTCAAGAGCACCCTCTTCCAAGAGAAGAGAACGGCCTTTTCTACGCCCTGTAACACATAACATCCTATTTAAGTATTATAGCGATTGACTCGGTGTACATTTTTTTTAGGCATATTTGTAAGCAAATGTGACTACACACCTTGCATAATTTCTCGAGTTTCACACTTGGCAAAATTTGCCATCCCTCTTGCTACTTGAGCAATGATATCTATGTTTCCAGATTGTGCCATCGTGAGTAGTCCTTTGATGCCTTCCTCTTCTTTTAGCAGTTTAAGAAACTTCTCTGCTTGTGCAAAACAAGACAGCATATAGAGTTTAGATGCTATGATGCAGATGAATAGATATGTTTAAAACTGGAATTCATCGGAACCGGTATTTATAATCTTGTACTCACCGTTCCCGCATAAATTGGCAAGTGCACCAGCAACCATTCTTAAAGTCTGTGGATCATCTGTTTTAGTCACCATCTTTGCTAGGAGTTGAGCACCTCCTTTATTCATTATTAGATCCTGACTCTTCTCTGTGGTTAATAAACCAATGAAAACATGTAAATAAACAAATCAAGCAAACAAGCATTGTAAAGAAATGACAAGCCCACAAGGGGACCACTACAATTATGAATTAGCTCTGCTTCTCATTTGTAAGTCTAACTTGTTTATGAACAACAATATCATAAATGCACTTGGTGCAAGAGCAAGTGCTCACCGTTCATTGCCAAATTAGCAATTGCACCAGAAGCCACCCTAAGAATTGTTGAATTTTGAGATGACTGGACTAGCATAAGCAAAGCTTCTACACCCCCTTCCTCCACAATCTTCACCTGATTAGCCTCTACACACATACACACACATGATGAAAGTCATTTAGGTACAATGGCAAACAAAGAGAATCCAGTGTCAAGGCAAAGTGCCAGTGTATCAAAAATCGCTGTTTCAACAATTGAGAATCCAATTGTAGTAGCAGAAGGAAGTATAAATTTGAGGCTTTTCGCACATGCTTATAGAAAAGATGAAACCGCACCTTCAGCGGCTAGATTAGCCACCACTTTTACAGCTTGAATTTGAACTTCCAAGTCTTCAGACTTAATGAGTTGTAATATCTTCTGAATTCCGACTGAAATCAAAGTAGATAACGTGTCAATTTGATTCTGCCACAATGAAACGAGACTGAACAATGTCTACGCTAGAAGGAGCTCAATCCATGAGAAAAAATTCTACCTTCTTCACAAAGCCTCGCCATGGTAGCTCTCTGACCAGATAGAGACTTTTTTAACCCTTGTGATCTCTGCGAGCCTGTTAGAGCTCCAGATTCTGATGACCCTTTTGAAAGATCTTCCTTCATATATCGTTTTTCCTGTTGAATTAAATGGACTTAGCAAGACCATGAAAAACAATACATGTGAAAAAGGTGAAACAAGCTAATTCTAATTCACCTCAACAACACTTTCACTTTCCCTTAGATTCTTCTTTAGTTTGGAAAGCTCACTCTCCAATTGTTTTCTCTGTTTTTCTTCCAAAAGGAGCCTTTCCTTCATATCCCGAACCTCTTCACCAAGTTTTTCCTGTGGAACAAAAATTTTATGTACATTTAGACATATTCATCAGCAAAAAATGACTAGTTGGATTTTGAATATGACCAATCTGAACAAAAGCAAAAGCAGAAAATTAAGCGTCACACCTTTTGCTGGAGAAGATCATCATAGTCTAATTTCACCGTCTGTAGTTCATCTACTGTAGATTCATACATTTGTGATAGTTCTTCTAATTTTATCTTGATTTTGTTCGTCTCTTCATTTTCCTGAACACAAAATCAAGAAAAAAAATCACTTGGAGACAGAAAATTCTGCAAAAGCTGAAGCACAAATAATTAATAATAAAAAATGTTTATCTTCAATTTATTTGAAAAAGAAAAAGGATAAATACATTGACCTTTTCACCTGAAACATAAAGCTGAAAGTATCATATGCTTATTGAAATCAAGGTTTTAAAAATAAGTTATAAGCCTAACCTGTGATAAAACTTGGCGATCGCTTAGAAGTCTTTTCATTTGTCTAAGTTGCTCTTCTGCAGCGTTAGACCGAGCATGTTCATCTTCTAATTTCTTCTGCAGCTCTGCAATTTTAGATTCATATGTGTGAGTGGTTTCCGCAAGTTCCCTTTGATATTGATAGTTTCCCATCTCTTGTTCCTATAAACGCCAAAAAATACCATTTAGTTTGAGTAGAGAAGTAATAATGCGTTTAAAAGGTAGTTGAAAAGGTGTAATGTTAACTAACATGAATAGACTTCTGCTGGTTACTCAAAATGTTTTTCATTTCATTCAATTGATGCTCGGCGTTTGTTGACCGGGTTTGTTCATCCTCAACACGCTGAACCAACTTCGCAATCTTTTTCTCATATACTTGACTGGCATCTGCAAGTTTTGCCTCATATGCTGAATTTTCCAGCTGTTGTTGCTACTAACAATTAAAAGGACACTGTTAGAGCTCATATATGTATATTTATATTTTGGTAAACACGTTGGCTATTTTTTATGATAGGCCATTTTCAAAACATCCAAGAATTTCCGAAAGTAGTTAATACTTAATAGATACAATACAGTGAGGTAGTTACCAAGGAAACTACTACCAACAATTTATGAGAAAGTGTGTACCTTGGTATTTTTCAATTTCATCTCTAGTTCTATAGCTTTGTCATGCATTAGATCACACTGATCTTTCTGCAGCTGCAATTCCTTCAAAAGTTCTTTCATGCAGAGCTCCAAGCGGGAGTTTTCCTTCTCCAGGAACTGTAAGTCAGATTCCCCCCCACACAATATAAACACCAGATATAGAAGAATATCATAGGAAAGTAGGCATCATATCAAGAAACTAGAAGATTGTTGAATATCAATTACTCTAAGCGAACGAAGAGTAGCCAATCAATAGACGAGAATAATACCTTGGACCTTGTAACGGCATTTTTTTCTGCTTCAGCGAAAGAGTTTTCACATTCTCTCAATCTTTTTTCCAACTCGTGTTTCTCACTGTTTCTTAGTTTGTTTTGTCTTTCAACTTCTGCAGTAAGATGGTCCACCTGAGTCTCAAGCTTCCGACACAAACTTTCATAATCGAATTCTTCTTTAAGCTTTACCATGTTTACTATTTTCATAGCCTGTAAAGGAAGACATGACCAAGTGGGCATTACTATAAAATTCTTTAAATATTAGAATACTGTGTCTTTCTCGTTTATGATTTTCTTTAGATGTCAGAAAGTAGATATTCTGCAGAGAACAAAATAAGAGAAACATGAAAACTCACCCTTTGTCCAAACATTATTGTGCTGGTGGTTTCTGCATGATACCGTGCAGATGGCCCAATTGTTATTATAAGTGAAGTCCTTGCAGAACCTATTAGTTGAGAGCAAAAGACCATGCCAGAGTTTATTTAACAGACACGAGAATAACTGGAAAAGTATGAACAAATGTATAGGCACAGAAGTAAGTCACGCTTATGAGCTCTGTAACAGACTAATAGGGAAAGACATTTTTGATAAACTACTAACCGCCAAAAGAATCACGAAGAAGCCTTGTTAGCTTAGAATCTCTTGTTGGTATATGAGAACTGCCTTCAGCTAACGCATTTATGCATTTTCCGAGGGATGTCAGTGAAAGATTAATGAATTTCGCCTCTTCAATCAAGTGGCCATCGGTGCCTTCAAATAAAACGGGAAATAACTCAGCATAAACTACTTGATATAACATGAATGGTTATATAAAGAGTAAAGGAGTTCAAACCAGATTTATTTATTCTTTCTGAACCAGCAAGATCCACAATCAGAAGTTTGCTCTTTCTAACTCTAGGAATGCCTTTATCTCCCAAAGATTCAGGTTTTGCTTTTTCAGTCTTTTCATTCATAGCCCGCCTGACATAAACCTGCAAAGAAGATACATTTCATCAACGGACAGATACAACACATGGATTCTGTTGATGAACAAGAAACCATATAGACCAAATATTCCAAGGAAACATACTGTAAGAATTGCATGACTACGTGAGGATTCTGTATTCATCTTTGTATTTGCTGCGTGGCGGTTTGTCTCACCAACTTGCAAAACCTGCAAGAAATGGTCTAAATCTTGAACGTTGACTACTGTAGCGCCTGGTACTGATACTTCCCCAGTTTTTGCATCCTCATTGATTGAAATGTTGCTTTTCTCAGGTGCAAGAAGATCTTGTATCGTTTCCATATACAACTGTGAAGTACAAGAAGAAATGAAAATCTTACTTAAGCTATAGAACCATTTCAAAATTCACAAGGTTTCCATCTATGAATATTCAACAAC